TTGCCTCCGCGATTCAGCGATCGAACGAACGGCCCGCCAGGCTTGCTGAACCGTGTCACCGCATCGCGCTTGCCTACCGGTCGTTGCTCCCGATCGCGAACGAACCACTGGCGATTTTCATACGGCTCGGGACCTACGTCGCGACGACCTCTTGGCGCAACCGTGCGTCGCGTCAAATTTATTGGAGGCTCGACGAGGCTCTTTAAACCTATCGTACTTATTTTAACGATTGTAATTCCAATGATTTCTTTCCAATTTATTTTAAATATATTTTTTAATTATATATTTTAAATATGGATATTTTAAATAAATAAATTTTATAAAATTTATTTCTTTATTTATTTAATAATTAATTTTAAATATATTTTAAATATACAAATTTTGCTGTTTCTTAAACGTTGATGCCTCTATGTTATAATGCTGATTAAAATTTCCGTTAGAGACGGTGAGAAAAAAAAAAGATACAATACAGAGTACAGATAAATATATATTTTACGAAAGATTATTTAAATCTCCAGAGATACACCGTTTCCTGCCTATATAGTTGTCAATTTTATAATAATTATAAATTGGTCATTTTGATCAATTTATTGGTAGTTCCAGTGTCGTTGATGGTTTTATTTTATTTTTATTAAAATATATAAATTTTGCTGTTCGTTGTATTTTAATGTCTCTATGTCAACGTTGGCTTAAAGCATAAAATTTCTATTGAATTGAAAGAGAAAAAAATAGAAAATTTTGTAATAAAATATAGAATATACAAGCGTTCGTTTGAATAATTTTACGAAAAAATTGATGTCCGGAATCGAAGATACAGGCTTGAAGAGAACTACCTGATCTAAGTAGATTCTTAGATTTTGTGACTAAGGAGACTAATTTTTGCGAATTATAGTTGGCATACGATGAAGAGCAAACTCAGCTGCTGAGCACGGTGCGAGATATTATGTATAACAACATTGAAAGAACGAAGAAATATCAAACAACAGTTGAAAAACTCACCTATGAATACAACGAACGTTGAAATTGTCCAGCTTCGTGAGAAACGCAGGGCATCAGATACGCGAATGAGTCGTGAAGACAGAAGCGTTAGAAAACTGAGTAGAGAAAATTAAGAAAAAACGGCGGATGATGAAAGAAAGGGAAGGAAAATCGCACGTGTGAACAGCTTGGAAATGTATAAATGTATTATCGGCTGGTGTGCGCAACGTGACAAGAGTCGCGAGGATTTTTCTGTCTAACTGCTGTCTGCCTCCTGACTAGAACACTTATCGATAAAGAGACACGCTATTAGTGTCGACTGGTGCTATCTTACGTAGCACGGTCGTATATTTTATTCATTTGTCATTCTCGACCACGTTTTTCAGTCCCTCGCCTTGACATGAGCGAGACTATCAGACCTGTCGCGTCTCAATTTCTCCTTCCCTCCCCCCTTTTACAATAAACTTGCTAAAAAAAGCTGAATCTTCAATCCCAAGTCGTTGCAACAATATTTTACATAGCCGTTTACCACTCTCACAGAGATCAAATTTTACATCTAATTTCGTTACGTAAGTACGCGGCTATATTGAATTGAATTGACTATACTATGAAATGAAATAACTATATCAAAATGAAACTATAACATTCAGGTATCTAGATATCAAATTCAATCAACTGAAATCGCTTTCGACAAATATCTTGCCAATTCAGTTAACTGCTCAAACGCTCGAATAATCCCTACTGTGTGGGTGTGAACTTTGTTGATAAGTTTCAAATGCCGATGTAATCCGACGACGGAGCCGAAAGATCAAGAGATGCTCTCTCTCTCTCTCTCTCTCTCTCTCTCTCTTTTAATAAAGAGACCACACCGGTCGCGACGCTGCACGTTGCAATTGGCAGACGGAAAACGCCAGCAGGGCGGGCAAAATCGCGAAACGAAGCGTAAAGACGAAAATCAGCGACCGACGTCCAACTAGCGAAGTAGTCTCGGCCTCCAATTAACGAACTTTTGCCGAGAGAGGCATCAGCGGACGAGAGGTATCGATCGAAAGTGGTATCGGCCGCAAAACGCGTGACACGTCGTACGACGGCAGCGGCATCCGGATTCCATTTCGCGGGGCAGGGACGATCGCTCTCTGCTCTTGCAGAGGTCCGCTTGTTTCATCCATTTGTCTGCCCTTTTAAAAATAGGCGTTCATTCAAGGATCCCGGCCAGACGCTGGCCAGACATTCGACGCATTGTGTACAGAGACGGGCATTTTGCCGGGTACATTCTCGCCTCGCGCGCGCGCCCGCCGATCTGCACGAACGTGAGTACACAAACGTCTTTGGAAAGGAGAAACAGACGTGGCAAAGAAAACACGCGACGACGTCGCGATGTTGGACCAACGCGCGTCCGAATTAGAGACAATAGTGGTTCGTTTTTTTATATACTTTAATATATATAATATATAATATATAATTTAATTACATATATATATATATATATATACTATATATAAATGTTATATATACTGGGTTGCATGGCAAAAAGTAATTGCGTTTCTTTTTTTTTTCTAATAAACGATGAACGTAGAAGATGTATATCCGTAAGATGTTGGACCAACGCGCGTTCGAATTAGAGACAATAATGGTTCGTTTTTATATATATATACATATAATTTAATTATATATATATACTATATATAAATATTATATATACTGGGTTGCATGGCAAAAAGTAATTGCGTTTCTTTTTTTTTCTAATAAACGATGAACGTAGAAGATGTATATCCGTAAGATGTTGGACCAACGCGCGTTCGAATTAGAGACAATAATGGTTCGTTTTTATATATATATACATATAATTTAATTATATATATATACTATATATAAATATTATATATACTGGGTTGCATGGCAAAAAGTAATTGCGTTTCTTTTTTTTTCTAATAAACGATGAACGTAGAAGATGTATATCCGTAAGATGTTGGACCAACGCGCGTTCGAATTAGAGACAATAATGGTTCGTTTTTATATATATATACATATAATTTAATTATATATATATACTATATATAAATATTATATATACTGGGTTGCATGGCAAAAAGTAATTGCGTTTCTTTTTTTTTCTAATAAACGATGAACGTAAGATGTATATCTTAACTGCGCTGGCAATCGATTGCGGACCATAACGAGTGACCAAATCGTACACAATAATTCGTCGCTTCCTTTTCGAAGTCGTCGGTACGATACTCACTGTATGGAAATTATTGAGAAGTAATAAATTTATTATTTGTTTTGCCTATTTCGTTTTACTTAAACATATGCTTAAAACTGAGAAAATACCACGATTTTGGGACAAACAGTTCTCGACGTGCACGTCATTCCAAGAGGTTAAAACGTAACTGACTTTACATTAAACTGACGCAAATTCATTATGTAATTTGATTGTTCAAGCTCGTATCAGAGGAAAATGCACGATCTTCAATAGTTTGTTTGGCACGTTGATTTTAAATTGTACTACCTTCGAAAACGAAAAAAAAACAAAAAAATCGAAAAAAACGCTGGGGCAAATTCATGAAAAATCATTCGACGAAGAAACCTTCAAATTACGGCTGATGAGAGTATGAAATCGTACTTGAAACTGTTTCTCGTCGAAAAGGACGAGCGAAGGGTAATCGAATAAAATGGTCAAGGTATCAAAGTTTCTGTTTCTCGTGAAAAATTCGCTCTTCATTTGAAAAGGGAAGCTCATTTTATTATTTGACAAATCTAGCGTACTAATCGCACGACTCGAACGTATGAATCTGTTTCACACAGAAAGAAAACTCGCTCGCGTTATTTCCGTTCTGCCCGCCGAAACGAAAAATGGTAGAGAGCAGAGTTGATCATAATTACGCGATATCCGGCCTGTACCTCGATTCCCCGAACGGCCATCGCAATTGGAGCGATGTTAACTAATTTAGCTAGCGTTACATTTTCCACATTCCCTCGGCGATCGTTTGGCTGTGGCAACGTGCTCGTGACAGTGGCTGATAGCTCGGCCCCCAGAGCGCATCCAAGAATTCGATTGCACCTTCGGATGATCCGCACGTCCCACCAGAATCGCGTAACACATCTATCGACTATCTGTTCAACGACGGGGTGGTGCGTACCATGTCCTCTAACGAACAGGGTCCGAATTACCACCCGACACGTGCTTCGAGTTTCGGAGCGAGCAGAAACGTCTTTCTCCCGTGCAGAAAGCGTAGAGTTAAAGCACGCACGTAGAGTCGTGTTGAATTTTTTCCAAGGGACGCGAGGAGCTTTCACGCGTTTGCGACATTGGCACGTGACGAGCTGATGAAACAATTTTCCTACGAAAAACCCTCCGTGCCAACGCGTATTTAACCCATCGCGCTGTCAACTGGTTCCGCGGACCGTAACGAGTGACCGAACCGTACGCAATAATTCGTCGGTTTCTTTTTCTATCGACTGGTTAGAAATTGTTGAGAAGTTTAATAAATTTATTATTTATTTTGCCTGGGTTATACTTAAATATACTTAAAAAAACTGAGGAAATACTTGCAATTTTGGGACAAAAAATTCTCGACGTGCGTGGCACGTCATTCCAGCGCAAGAAGTTAAGGATGAATGATGATGCTTTTCTCTCGCGCTACCGTGGGTTACATTTAAATATATTTAAAACTGAGAAAATGTTGCAATTTGGGACAAAAAAATTCTCGACGTGCGTGGCACGTTCATTCCAGTGCAAGAGGTTATCGTCGTCGACGAAACTACGTCGCGTAGTGTTTCACGCGTCAAACGAGCCGATGAAAGGGACGCAGAAGGAAGTGAGGTCAGCTCGCGGAGATCCACAGATCCGAGGGGTCTCATATTATATTATACGAATTTAAAATTTTAATAAAAATGTTAAAATTCTTTTATGGGACGATAAGACCCCATAGAATTTTATATTAATTTAATTTTATAATTAATATAAAATTTAATTTAATATGTAGTCGGGGGAATTATTAAATTTAATAAATTTTAGTTGATAAAAACTTTAATCTAAGAAAATATTTCGAGTTTTAATTTATAATTATTACATTAAATTACCTTAGGGATAACAGCGTTATACTTTTTCGTAGATCTTATAGAAAAAAGTGATTGCGACCTCGATGTTGAATCAAGAATTAAATTTTAAATGTAGAGATTTAATAATTAAGTCTGCTCGACTTTTTAAAATCTTATATGATTTGAGTTCAAATCGACGTGAGTCAGATTCGTTTCTATCTATAAAAATATTTAAATTATTTGTACGAAAGGACTGTCCGAGTCCGAGGAGTCTTCCTAATCGGGCGATTGCGGAAGATAGCGGTGGAAGGGTGAACCATGGAAGGCCAACCGCTCCGTGATAAAGTGTTTCGAAACGATTTCGACTTTGTCCGTAGTACGTACTAATCGGAAGGGAGATGGACACACGTTGGATTTCCTCGCACGTACTAGAGATATGCTTATGTCACCCTCTTTTCTCGCAATGGCAGCCATCGCGGCAACGTGCACGCACCGAGAGAGGTTATTTTTGTTTAGTCTGCCTCTTCCCTTCTAAACGGCTGCTACCGCGTGCGACTCATAGGTGCCCACCACCAGCCGAGTTGAATTATTTGACCCGCCATTGAATTGTCTCGTTTAACTATATTTTAGCAGGAAGCTTGCGCAATTGTTGTTGCTCCACGCTCGCCAGGCGATTCTTTTTTAATCTTTTACCATACAACACGACGTAGCATTTGGTCGCGTCGAATGATCGAGGGAGGAAATTCAGAAACAGAATTTCAGAAAATTGGCTGTTGCATCTGACGTTTAGATCGTTTAGATTCCTTTTTCAGAAATTTCTGCACATCTCTGTCTTTAGATTAAAATACTTTCCATCTTAAGATTAAAATATCTTCTAAATTAATAATTTTTCAAAGTGCGTGTGTCGATACTTTTTTTTTTTTTTATAGAGAATGTATCAAGTTGTATCGATTGATGTAGTGTATAATTTAAAAAAGCGAAGACCACCTCGAAATATGCGGAACTTCTCCGCTTATAAGAAAATTTTACATTATGGACCCCTATATACTAAATAATATCATGTACATAAAACTCTTATACGTCCAGAGATAATAACAGAGATATTTAAGATGGACAAAAATATAGATTACACAGAATTATTGTACACGCGTTTCGATGTAGATTCTCTACACCGTGGCAAGATACTCCATATTCAAGGAGTTGACGATCGACGACGATCAAAGAAAGAGCAGTCGATTCCTCGGATCAACACGTGGATGTTCGAAGCGATTCGAAGAATTCTGCTCGCGAACGCGAGAAAATCGATGCTTCGGGGTGCATGAAACGCAAAAGCCAGGGGTGAACTCGCGTCGAGATGGCGTTTGATTACCAACGTGTCGTTCTTTTCACGGTAGCCAGGGGAATGCACGGGGTTCGAGCGCGATGTGGTCGATAACAAAGAGCTCGGCGAGTAATCGTGATTATGGGGACGAATGACAGCCACGAGCATTACGGACGATTTAGAAGTGCGTCATCCGGGTGCATTGATTCAATTCGGCAGCTGATGTCATGATTAACGAGATTTTCGTTGGATCGTTCGAGGAAATCCTCAAATATGTATTTCCACTTAATTGAACCGGGTTATATACTACACTGCTCACAAAAATTAGGGGCAAAATTAACTTGTACAAAATGAATATGAAGCGATAAAAAAAAAGAAGCATTTGACTTTTTCTTTTTAATTTTAAACAAGAGCATCGGACAAGCAAACGACAAGTCAAAGATTTTAATAAAATTTTAATAAAAAAGAAACAATCAAACGTCTAAAAATCTAATTTTTGCGAGCAGTGTATGTATACTATTACTATACTTATTATATACAAAAAATCGAACGTGAAATATACGTTCAAAAGCAAAGTGCTAAACTTTCAGCTTCGTACGTGTACTTTCAAATTCGTGTCGAATTTGACTAATAGAAAAATCCTAATAAAAGAAGAATATTTCATATAACATGCTTCGCGTTAATTTATTTATAGAAAATCGAGGTGTTGAAGTACTTTCGTGTTGAGCAACTCTCTCACCGAGGATGGAAAATGGCCAAGAGAGTATCGGACACACGACAGCCGCGAACGACTGCTGGTCGATGCCCCAGTACTGTGCACTTGGTACCATTTTCCTACCCTACCCAACGCACCCTCTCTTTGTCCCTTTCCTACCCTTTTTCGCTGCGCTCGCCTGGCAGAGGAATAAAGAGGGGACAGGGAGAAACGGATTAAATCAAAGGGAGGAGGGTCTGACGCGGCAATGGTGTCAGCGCGTCGTGGATATACGGGGTGTTTTCAACTGTACGCGCAAACTTGTCCGGTTAATGGGACGCGTGGAAACGACGCGTGCCTGGTTAATTAAGGGGTTTGCAAACTAATTCGCCATTTCACAAATATTTTTAACTCCCTCGTTCCTGAAACAACTACGGGCTATCTTCGACACCTCCTCACGCGAAATTTCAATCGTCTGCAATTTAAATATTTACGCTCGCTCCTGTCCGTTTCGTTGTCAAGGCTTTATCCTTGATAGGGTATCAAATTGACAGACCAACTAATGAAAAGCTAAATAGGTAATAAATAAAAGTCGTTCCCCTGGTTTTTTTTTTTTTTTTTTTTTTTTTGATATTCACAGATCCTTCGATGTTTCTTTCAGAATTTCTTGGCATTTTGTTTTTTTTTTTTAAAAAAAAAGAACGAGTCGAAGGAAGACGTTTCTCCAAGTTTCTTTCGGAATTTTGTTTCTAAAGAACGACGAGTCGAGGTTGAAGTTGAGGAACAGTAAGATCCGAGATTTTCCGAGATCCTTTTGGGACTTTTTGGCACTTGCCTCAGTCAAAAGCTGAGCTTGAACGAATCTAACAGATTGGGATTTTTCGAGATATTTTTGGTGTTTCTTGCGGCATTGGCACTGTTTTCCAAAGAGTGACAAGTTCAAACGAAGCAAAGCAAGAGTTAAACTGATACTTGTAAAGAACATCGATGCCTGATAAGAATATTGTATAGACTTCTCGAAATTGACTTGGGAACTCGTTTTATTTTTAGAGGAGCACGAGTCAAGGAACGAGCGTTTGTATTTTGGAGCTGCCGGTTTCAACTGCGGATACTTATGGGAATTCGTGCTCTCGTGCACATGTAAATGCGTAAAACGTAAGCTAAACAGACTTTGGTTTCACCGAGCAAACATTCTGAGTTGTTTGGCAAATTTTTAGCAAATCTTCAAACTCGCCATAAACGCACAGCTATCCGCGGTTTGGTGACAGACATCGAATTCTTTGGTAATTCTTTCAAGATAATACAGAATATTTCTAATTATGACATTCTTTATCAACTAATATAAAAAAAAAATAGATTATTTAAGCATACTTCTATAAATTATAAAATAATATCACTATTTAATTATTTAATAACAATGAGCGTTGGTGATTTCGGAAATATCTTTATACTCCTTGAATTAGAACAGTTTTCACTAACGATATCAAATGTATTTATACTACTCAAGAATAGTATATAAATTATTATTGCTACATTTATAGTATATAGATCTCATTATATATACAAGTTACCTACAAAGCAACATCGCTGTTAAAAACTATTGCAATAAAGAGACATTTCCGAGATATTTTCGACAAATCCTTCGAAGCCAACTGCCAAGATTCCATTTGGTCACGCCGGAACAATGAATTGATATTTCGGTAACACGGGTTTGTTAAGCTTCCTGTGGCCAGGGTCAAAGAACCTATCGTCGTTAATCATCCTTCTAACGTTCAGAGCTCGGAAATCAAAAGCTCGTCTAACTTCGTCGACGATTGTCAATTCTCTTGTCTTTTTTTTTTTTTTTTCATAGAAAAGAACCTTCGTCTTTCCTCTCACGATGTATGTACGTACACGTGTATTTCTTTCGCGCACGTGTAATAAGAAATAAGCAACTATTTAGCGAGTTCTGTTCTACGTACATACTATTAATAGATTCGTGTACGTTTCAGATAAAACAAACACTCGAACAGAACCTACATCTTGTTCGTTGGTTAATTCTGTCGCACGCTTTCACCTTTTTTCCTTTTTTAAGCACCATGTTCATTTGATCATCGTTCGTTCCTTTCTTTTTGTTTAATTCGATTCAAATCGACGCAATGGTGGAAAATTCACGTAACTATAACAATTTGTTAGAATAGAAATGACTCACTGACGCGAATATTTTTATTAATAGTAAATAAATGGAACTTGTATTCGATCACGTGTGACGTGAGTATCACTTGTCGAATTTCAGATAAATGTGGAAAATATAATAATACAATAATAGTGTCATAGTGCTAAATTTCTTTTATCTATCGTACATTACGTTTCGCCGGAAATTTAATCGACTCGAATCCCTTTTAAACCTCGATGATATTTTTCCATTATGAAAAATCGAGTCGAGAAAGAAAGGAGGAAAGAAATGAGAAGAAAACTGATAAAAAGTAGGAAGAAGATGGAGAACAAGGAAGAAAGAGAAGCGAGGAGAATCTAAGAACTTATCTTAGATCTTGGACTCATCATCTCGAAACTACAGTTTCATTGAAATCTCTGAATGATGTTGTTTTATTCGACTTGAAGACAAAAAATGATTCGCACCATCTCGTGATAAGCAAAACCCTCGATTCACGTTATGTCAGAGCATTAAACGATAAGCATATGTTAGTATTAATTGGTATTGTTGTTGGGAACGAGAACCTTTTAATTCAATTACTTAATTCTGCATAGAATCGAATTTTCAAGCAGTAGATTTTTGAGCGTGCAAAATTAAATGTCCGAAATTTTGGCAACCTAAGGTGAACTGATACAATCATTTATTATTTAGATTATTATTGTTTGTTCGTGGGACAATTTGACTTTACCTTATATACTTCATATATTATTTATAGTATTATCTGCGGTTACTTAAATTTTCAATGGCATCCATTTCAATTATTTCATTAAAGTTATTCTATTTTATTCCAACATCAAAATATTAAGATAATAATATATTTTATAATCCTCCAATCAACGAATACTAATGTATTGTATTTCAAAGAATAGAAACGTCAATTACCAATGACTATCGTGGTACTCTGTTCTGCTCTATAAGATTCTATATACAAGACTCGAGTGTTATACTCCAATAAATATCACAAAAATCTCTAAAACTTCTTAAACATTTGGTTTCAATATTCCTTACAATTTCACGACCTTTTGCATACTCCACGCTTTCTACAAACGAAGTATTTTAAAAAAGGAAAGGCATCTAAAGCGACTGTACATATGTACATATGTAACGAACAAGCAAGGAACACTGCTATGTTCATTCAAGTAAGTGAATAAAATAATAAAATAATACTAAAGTAATAATAAAATAAAAATAAATTGAAGTAGATGAATCTGACTTTAGAGAAAGATCTTTCAGTATTTAACAATCTGAAATATAAACCATTACACCTTCAGTTTTCTTTATAATATCGTAGATAAATATTTCTGCTGCTACTTATATTTTTACGCTACTCGGTATCAGTGGCACGATTCAAGCTACTCCGATTCGCAATTTTTTTATTGAAGAAGAGCAGAGTCGCAGAATTTTCCAACGAACCACGATGCTCATACGGCACTGTGAATCGTTGCGTACGTGTGTGCATCGAGCGTACGTACATACGAATGCACTCATGTACATGTGGAGGCACATACACGTGACTGAGAGTCAGCCAGTGACTCACCTCTCGCGTTAGCAACGCGAACGCTTGCGCGCTGTCGCGAGTCTGACATTTCTTTCGTTGTTTTTTCTTTTCTTTTTTTTTTTTCTTTTTTTCGGAAAGATCGACGGTGAATTTCTCATTGACATGAGAACGATATCATCGCGGAAACGTAAATCACACGATTGAATTTTCCATTTCATTTGAACTGAAACGAAGTGAATTGAAGTTTAACCTTGGTTATGAAAAACGAAAAAGAGAAAAAAATGATTCTCAAATAGTCGATTGAACAGAGTTGCGCGTCACATAATTTTCGCGATCTTTGTTACGTAAGAATTTACCAACTCACGGAGCGACTTTTGCATTACGTAATTACCAAGTTATAGTTTTACGCCTGAATGAAATTGAAATTTCTGAATAATATGTCGATCCATGGTAATTTCCAAACGGTATCAATCACGCTGTTTACGATTAAATAACCCGTCGTGAAACAAAAATAAGAAACGAAGGAATATATTGCGTGTCGCGAAGCGTTTTGATTAATCGCTCGTTGTTTGGACATATTTCAAAGCTCGAATTCCGCGAAATTCAAATGATCAGTAATTAATAATACAGGCCTCGTTAGTCTCTGGCCAAATTTTCATTCAAGTCAATTCGTTTCAATGAAGTTTCAATTCGAATTTCTAATTAAAAACGCACGCAACTCCGATTTCTAGACATTGCAACGTGTATTTCAGCCTATCTATATTAAAAAATAAATTAAATTAAACCCTATTCTCGTGAAATTCAAATGGTCAGTAATTAATAATACAGGCCTCGTTAGTCTCTGGCCAAATTTTCATTCAAGTCATTTCGTTTCAATGAATTTCAATTCGAATTTCTAACGCACGCAACTCCGATTTCTAGATATTGCAATGTGTATTTCAGCGTATCTCTATTAAATACAATATTAAATAAATATTATATATTATATTAAATATAATATTAAATAAATATTATATTAAATAAATATTAATCTCTATTAAATATAATACATTATATTGAACACTATTCTCGGTCAGTTACAGACACTTAATTTGATTTAATAAGCTTCAAGAGTTTAAGCATCATAAGATCGGGAGAAAACAGAGAGAAAAAAAAAAACGAAACACGCGAGTGATTTCCAGATTCGTGCAACTGCAGTTTCTAGGTGTTTTCAACGAGCAGAAAAATTTTAAATAAATGAAATTAAATTAAATACTGCCCTCGGTCAATTACACGGGTGCCTAATTCCAGTTAATAAACTCCGAGAGTCACGGTTTTAAGTATCATCAAACGAGCATAAAAGCATCGTTGGCCGAATAATTCATATCGTTCGATGAATAATTCATAGCGGTGTTCACGAAAACACTGTTCGCGGAACGAAGGAGAAAAGAAAGGGGAATTGTAATAACACGAGGACGTGGCAAAAGAGGCATCCGCAAGTCGAAAATGCAACGATTAGTCCGAGTGAATGGGACTTTCACCGTGTCGACACCATCGATCTCGCGACAATTTTCGCGGCTTTGACGATTGGCCAAATTTTTCTAAACGCAAGTTCCCGACTTTGAACGAGAAAACGACCATTTTCCCCGCGATTTTCATTCGTCGTTTCGACAGTTCATCGCGCGGGGGTCACTTCGATAAATCGTTCTCGAGAGGCTAATTTTGGAAAATTGAACGACCGAGAATGAATACTTTTTTTGTTTCATCGTTTGCGAATGAGTTCTCGCGAACGCGGCAATTTTTGCTACCTCGTTACGTAAACAGTGATACGTTACAAATTACGATAACGAGCGGTTTGGTAATTGAAGCGTTAGATTCGCGCGGAAAGATGTGTCCAGCGTGCAACGAAATCGAACAATTTGGAGCTAAAGCTACGGTGAAAAAGAAAGTTGGAGTTGAGGGCGAAGCGATCTCTTGATCTGAGAAATACAAATACTGGTTGCATAAAATGAAAATTTGGACGCTAAATATAGAAACTGTTATAGTTTTGTGAAAAGAAATCCTACGATAATAAACTTGGGCTTACTCCCACGTGAAAACAAGTTCGAATAGAATGAACGACGCATTTTAAAAACAGAGGCTTCAAGCTTTGAAATTTACGTTATAAATTAAATTTATTTAAAAAAAACTAGATATTAATGAATACGACAAACGTTTAATTTGTAAATATATATATTTTTTTTTACTTTACAAAAAGTAGTATATGTGTACTTGTATCATTTACTTTCGAATTAATTGAAATTATTAAGATAAATTAATTAACCGTGATACAAAAGGTACAAAATAAATTTTACTTATTTATTTCTTGAAAAAAAATTATTTTCATTACTTTAAACTGTTAATAATATTATTAATTTTTAATTATTACTAAAATATATTTCCCAAGTTCGTTATTGTGTGATTTCTTGTTGCAAAATTACAAATAAAAATATTAATGTACGTTGTAAATTTTGAATTATTGAGTTTTCAGAACGCAATTGTCGTCGATTTTCACAAATGGACGAATATCGATTGGAAAATTTGTTATTTTCTACCAAAAATTTGAAAATGCGATTTCTAGATTTCTGCGAATTCAAATTTTTTTTGCCAGTGTACGATAGGATCTTTAATCTGAAATTCAAAAATATGGAGATAAAATCTGTTGAAAACTCAAAGACGCGATATAACATTTTCATTTTATTTTTAGTCTGTTTTTCTCGATTGTTTGCGTTCTGTTTTTGAAACCGTAAACGAGAATTGCAAAGTGACCGCTTGTGGAAGGAAAAGAAAAATTTTCATGTTTCATCGCGTGCAAGGTTGAGTCTGTTTTACGATCGTTTTACGATTCGCGAGAAAGACGATTTTCACGGATCGTACGATACGATTTCGATGAATCGAGCGATCAGACGCAAATTGTTTTTGCAAGTGAACCGTTCTCTTGCTTCTTTGATCATTAGACTGTCTCGATTTTACGAAACAGTACAAGTTTTGTCGACCGAAAATTCAAAGCTAACCCTTGTATTTCCCTTCTAATTCAAATTATGCATTATAACACAATAATTATTCAGTAATATTATTTTATCAGAGTCCGCCAGGTTTTATCAAGAAATTAGAAAGATTTTAAAGTAAGATGTATAATACTGGATGTGTGAATAAATAAATGAATAAATCTAGTTTACTACAATTCACTGAAAATCACATGACATTATAGTAACGTCACCAATTGTTATAGTGTTGATAAAATTATTCTTTCAGAAAGTTTAATGACATCATATCGTATAATAATTTAACAATCAGACTGCAGATTCTTATGCATTTATAAAATATTTAAAAATATAAAACTGAATAGAATCAAATAGCATAAAATACAGTAAAATATCCAAATACTATAATGTAACATAATGTATAATATAAAATAATATAAAATAAAATAATATAATATAATATAATATAATATAAAATAATATAATATAATATAATAAAAAAAAATATAATATAATATAATATAAAATAATATAATATAATATTTTATTGTTTGAAGTCATGCTCATGAAAGTGTAAACTAAAAACTTCATTTTCTTAGCCTCTTTCTTTTTTTTATCGCTCTTTCTATAATTAGGCAACTAGAAGTTTAGTAAAAAGAAACAGATGGTTCCCAAAGAAACATCGGTTTACATTCAACATCCTTCCCGCGGCGCTATAAATCAGCTTTCGCCGATCTGTTATCGATCGATATAAACTTCTTATCTCTCGCGCTCGGTGGTAAAGTGAACGAGAAATCGGGAAGCATAAATGACACGAAACAAACACTCGAACGGTAGCAAACACCTACCGTTTCTCTTGCCTAAATTTATCACCAAAATTTATCGATCGAACGAACTTTTTATCAAATTTAATCGATGCACTTATTCTCGATTAATCCATTTCAGATAAGATTGTTCGTATCGGTGTACACGTATCTCGTCTATCGGACGAAAGGATCGTCGTACGTGAGAAGCAAAAATGTTTAAAACAACGTCACAGATGTACATACGAAAACAACGAAGTAAACATAAATTACGAACGTTCGAAACTTGAAGAGGTCGACGCAATTTTCGAGAAAAAAGGTATAGTCTAGTTGTAAGTGTTTAATTGCTTATGCATGTAAACACACGATTAACGTTCAATTCTCGAGAAATAAATGATTCACTTTTGTAAGTTCATTCAATAAGAAATGTCATGAGTAATGAGAAACTTTAAAGTAAATTTAAGAAATCGAAAAAGTTATGCAACTCTTTAAACTATCGACTATTTTTCAAAATATTTTTAATATAAAATATTAATATAAATTATTAATATTTTATATTATATTTATATTTATATTTAAAATGTTGGTGCGTAATATAATTCGTATCGTTAAACAAAATTGGCGCCTAATAACAGTTTGGAATTTTTACTTATTGGATCTTTCTTAATAAACATCATTTCAAAATAACTTCTTTCCATGGAATTTTTACTATGTATTGCTTTTATTATTATATACTGATACTATATAATAATGTATTTTAAATAAAAGTAATAAATTTTAAAATTTTTTAAATTCCACAAATTGTTCTAGAATACAAAAAAATAGCGAAATATCGTTACTTTCTATGAAATTGATCGAACCGTCAGAGGTTTAAAAAATCATCCTTTTCTCAAATTAACTAATCGCCGAAAGTACTGCTATCTCGAACATTTATCTCAAAATGCCCCTTACTTGCCACGTCATCGAATCATCGAGATCGTTTCTTAATTTATCAAACTCGTCCGCCCAAGCCTCACCCGACGTCGAATCGTCTAATCTGAACTGATGTCAGGCTGATTTTCACCGAGATTTCCGCGCGCGTGCAACCCGGTTTGCGCGTGGTCATCCACCACACGCCAAAGATAGAGTCTGACATCATACGCGGGGCATCACTCGGGTCGAACGAGCGATAAACATACATACTTGCACGCGGAAGGTTTACGCTGTCTGTTAGAACTGTCTCTATCTTGACATCTTCCAATGGATCTTTCGCGGGTAATCGAAAATTGGGTCTTGAGAGCGGAGAATCGTGGAAAAGAGGGAATTGGAAAAGTAGAAGCTCTTATTTTTAGAAAGTACAAGCGCAGGTACAAACTCCAAGAGTACTCCGGAGGAATTTTAAGTTATTTTTGATAGTTAAACTTCCATTTTTTTTTTTTAACGATTTTAAGCTTCAGATAGTTAAAGATAATTGATAGACAATTTATGTTTTTGCTGGATTTGTTTCTTTTCGTTTGATCGACAAAGATTTTGAATTAGTCTTTTGTGCTCGGTTATTAAAATTTTGGATGTTTAATTTTACTTTTATTTCCGTTACTCCGACATTGAAATTATTAATTTTTTGAATTTTAATTTTGACGTTTCATAGTAGAATTACTAAATACTAAATACTAAATTACTAAATATTGAATTACCAAATACTAAATACTAAAAATTAAAATTATTAAAAGTCCAGAAAATTTTGTTACCAAACAACAAGTAAATATCACGTAGCATAAGACAGAAAGTAAAATTAAACGTTCAGAATTTCGATCTAAATTACTTAATTTTGGAAATTTATTACCAAGTAAGCATTAAAGGAGAGCCAGAATTGCAACTGAACATTAGGCACTGAGACATTGATCACTGCAAGAATTTAGGATCACGTTGCTTTAAACATCTAACACAAGTCCAGCAATAAATATAAAATTGACACAAAATAGATATAAAAATAATACTACGATCAAATAGAATTTTATACTCACTTAGTAATCTCAATTTTACTTACGATCGACCAAGTATAAAAATCCCCAGATTAGGTAATCTAATCCTCATAACCTCCAATATCCAACGATTACCGATTAACAACTAACGTCGATCACGATGGAAAAGATCGAGTCTCGCGAATCTTGTTCTCGAAATCTTATCGAATCGAAAGTAAAAGCCGGGCAGCGGTAAATTTAGAAACATGGTATCTACGCGCCGCGATTTCCTCTCATTATTTGTCGCATGCTCGAGCATGCTTATAGTAGCTCGTAACACTTGCCGCTGCCAACACCGATAACGCCGCTGAATACACACAGGCTCGTTCGCGTGTAAACACGCGTGCTATCATGCCTGACGTCACCCCGGTGTACAACGTACAGATAACAAAAAAAAAAAGAATGGATCCGATGGGTATTTACCTCCCTTCGCGACAAGCTGCGTCGAATTCTTTTTCGCGTAGATCATCGAACGGGACCGGCCGGATGAATTATTCATGCGCCCCACTAAATCGTTGCAAACGTTGACAAACACACCGACGACAACAACGACGATCCTAAGTGCAGTCGACCGATTACGAAGACACGTCCCACGCAACTTCCTCATTCACTTTCAAACCAATTGCCTTTATTGAGCGAGCCAGGATCAACCGCGCCAAGGTTGATCGTTTCGTTTCTGGGGAAAGTCGACTGAACGCTGATCCCCCGATTAGTATATGGCGCGGTGGGCTATCTCGTAACGAATAGTGCTTTTTTTTTTTCTTTTTTAATTTCTCGTTAGAGCGACGAATGAAGATGCAGGAAAATAGGCTCGTGTAAAATTTGAGATACGAATGAATTGAACTTTTAATACGATTATTGAGAGTGTAAAATATGTGTTCTACAACGAAACAGATGATTCTGTTGCACATTGAAAATCGCAACGCAATGATACTATTGAAGTATTAACGTAATTAGAGTGTAAAATTTCTGTATTAAAGAAAGAGCCAAGTGATAATATTTACTACGCAAGTACTTCGATTTTTGAGAATTTTACAAAGCTCTAGAACTCAAATAGAAGATATAACGATGAAAAGCCTTAATCAATTCACATCGTAAAACTTAACGATGTGAATTGATTGGAAACAAGAAAAAATCAAACTGGCCTTTGATCGGTCAAAGTGCAAGGAATAAGAATAGAAATAGATCATTCACGTGTTTTACGAAATCGATCGATCTTTGACAGTTGCAAATCTATAAAATGTCTGTAGAAAAAATGATTACGAGTTACTCGTTTTTGGCCACTCCAATAATTCTGATATTAAAATTCGCTCGAATGAACGAAAGGGAAGACGACACTGAAGAAGAAAGAAAGCTCCAAAAAAAAAACCTCTAACTTGCAACTGTAGGAAAATTTCCATGGAAGATTACGAGTTGGTAACTTTCTCTGATGATTTCGACCAAAACAAAAAAAAAAAATTCACTGGATCGACGAAAAGGGGAAGAGGAAACGCTGACGAAGAACGAATCGTCGAGCGACGCGATCGTTTCGTTCCTTGCGACTGTTTCTCGTTCCGTTTCCCCCTTCGACCGAGGAACACCACCGGGTCTTCGAACAGCCGAGTCATCGGCGCTTGTCGAAGGAATCGACAAGCGGAATGCCGCGAGCGCGAACTAGCCCGATAGAAAGTGGTTTCCGAAGTGGCGTCGCGTCGCAAAACTTGACTCACCGATTCCGCGTGTCGTGGCTCGGCTCTCGCTTGCCCAACGCGGCCTACCGCGGTATTTATATTTATGCCGTTGACCAGCCGGCTCGGTATACTATTTCCGCGGTAATTACCTATTCGTGCCGCGTCCGAGTTTCATTACGCGTTACAGCCTGATCGACAATTTGCGAACAGAGCCGCGCAGTTGGGCCGATTGGGGGATCCAGGCGACACAAAAATATCAACTTTCTGATATTTCTCAGATATACTTCGATATTTTGATATCTTTTTGTAATATTATATGTATTTATTATATATATATGTATATATATATATATATATATATATATATATATATAATAAATAACATACATATATATAATGATACATATAATATTTTAAATTATATAAGACATATAAATATTAATTAATGACAATAATATTTAAAATATTATATGTACATTATAATATTTTATAATATTATATGTATATTGTAATATTTTGTAATATTAGAATATTATATATATATTAGAATATTTTGTAATATTATATGTATATTATAATATTTTATAACATTACATGTGTATTATAATATTTTATAACACTATATTATGATTCTTTCAATATATTTTGATAATTTTGATATGTTTCTAATACATACTGATTCCCAAATGCCCACCAATCTCGAAAATGAAAAAAAAAACTCAATAAAAAATGATAATAATTTTAGTTAAAACGGATAGATAAAAAGTTAGACATTTCAAAAATCTCGACTATCATCAAATAATTTCGTTCTTCTTCGTCGAAATGTCCTGACAACCGAAATTCATAAAACATGATAAAACATGAGAAATCATTGGAAATTATGGTACATAATATATTTTTAGAAGATACTGAACGGAATGAAGAAAATTGAAAAATTTTTTTTTACCTTTGACAAGCAATATCTTTTTAAGCTTCCACAATCTAACAAGTAGGAATTTTTTCAGAGAATCTTATTCTATATAATAAACGCCGAACGATGCACGCGCGACGCGTTCTTAGCCACGCAAATACTTCCGCCACTCTTCTTTCGTTTTTGGAATTTCGCCGTTCCCTCATATATTTTATAAATAATTCTGTCCTGCAAGATAATTCCATTTGCTTTGCAGTTTGATCACGAAATTCGTGCAATTTTCGTTCCTCCTTTTCTAAATAAATTTGTCGGAGAAAAGGAGAAATACATTTCGTTCTGGAGAGTGCAAATTTTTCATTTGCGACGTGATTCTGTTTGTTATATATAATATTAATCGCACCGAAATGCCAGATTCTCGTCTGTGCGATGCATGGGAAATTTCGTTCAATAAATCGAACGTTTCTCCGATTCTGTAATTATTTTCAATCAGTTTTGATCATTTGTGACGATTATTGTTTGATGTTGATGCGCTTCCATTCGACCAACTTCACAATTAAATGCGTGTCGTAATCTATATCGCGATGATGAACCAGCTGACGCGTCATTGTTTATTCGAGAGTTCTTTTTTTTTAATTGAAAATTACATTGCGATTTCACAATCATTCGTCACGTGTCGCAACCGAATTATTTGTTTTTTCTTCTCGGGAATGGAACAGATCACGAAAAGCAACAATTTTTGACCATGAAATTAGATGGAAGCTATGCTAAAAAGTATTTTTAAAAAATGCTTTAAATATTAAAACATTATAAATATTTAAACTATAAGTATTTTATAATTAACGGGCATTATTTGCGAAAAGATGACAGATATTAACAAATAAATATATTTAAAACGAGTAAAAATTTTAAATAAGTAAAATTTTGACCAAATTGTATAGATTTCAAATTGCAGGAATTTTTTGACCAAACCTTGTTAAAAATTGTAGGATTTTCAAGTTGAAATTAAATGTAAAAATTACTTCATACTTTTCTTTAAATTAAACAAATTTATTTTAAATTAAAGCCAAAAAAGCATTTTATTGTTAATAAAATTATTGAATAAAATTCTAATTTATTGAAATAAAAAAACTGAAGCTTCTAACGTTACAATTAGATATAAATATCTTTATTTCTAAATATATAGTTTATAGTTTTTAAACGCAAAAAACCTACGTTTAAAAACTGCACAAATTTTCTGACCAGATCTTGTATATCGTTATATTTGTATATTTATCTAACCTATGCCAATGTATATCACTTGACTGCGTTTTATTGTCTATTTTTCGAATCAAATACTTGATATATTTGAACTCGGATTTAAGAGCTTTGAAGAATTCAAAAATTTGAACCCAGAATAAAATTACAATTGATTGACTGTGAGAGATCATGAATTATCAAATGAACCCTAATGATTCGAACACTATTGATTATATTCCCTTTCCTTGCGCTTTCAGTCCTACAAATTTAACTCTGAAGCGACTTTGATGTTTAGATAAGGTCCGATCCGTAAGACTCATTCGGTTCTTTGAATACTATCGGCGAAATGATAATCCTTGAGCGATTGCGATACACAAGGTAAGCTGTAAATGTCATACAGGATGAAAAAAAAAAAAAAAAAGAAACACCATCGGTCGATTATGAATCACTGAGCTGAATTTCGCACGAGTCATGCTCGCAATTAACCTGACACTCTGTCCGTGAAAGATTGCGCGAGGGTGTGTATCCTTGTCACGAACAATGAGTTCATTTTTATCAACGAACATTGCAAAATGCTGTGTAACATATGATTTCCTTTTTAATTGAAAAAAAAAATATATATATATATATGTTATCAAAACGTCCACGAGAAAGAATCACTAACAATTTAAATAAATAAAACCCTAATAAAATAGAAGTAGAAATAAAAATGAAAAGAGAGCTTATATTCGAATTATCTTAATTTTAAATACTTAAATAAAAGAATAATTTTAATTTTAAATAAATAATTTTCAATTATTTAAATAAATTACATACGATTACTCGATAAAAAGAAGCAGAGAGAAGAGCTGCATTAAACAAACACCGAAGTGAAAGTCCTCTCGATCGATCAGATACTACGTTTAATCTCAATTTAAACAAATCTTAACTCCCAGGCAACCGATTTCAGGTCATTTTAACGTAAACTAAATAACATTCGAAAACGCGTGACAAAGATTCATTTATAGAAAATAAATAATACATTTATGTATTATATGATAATAGATACATTTATAGAAAAGTTATTATATATAGGAGTTAAGCTAGGTTACAAAGTATATGTAGGATGTTTATTTAAGGAAAGACGCAAAATTTTATAGAATAAGCAAAATGTAGCATTTGTACGTAATAAACAATCACTGATCCGCAAAATGACATGTACATTCTCCTTCGTGTCTCGCGAAATTTGAATAAAATCACTGGATATTTTATCTCAACCCTCGATTAAAAAAAAAAAAAAAAAAAAAAAAAGAAAATTACATTTACATCATCAGTGCACAAATTTCGTATCACACAAGAATACAATTTTATTCTTAACGAAGTGAAATAAAATTTCGTTTCACGGAAATATATATCTACAAAAGCGAGCTTATTTGAAACACCGGGCAATTTTTAAATTCGAAGAGACAGAATTAACCATTCTCTCTTATGAATTTAAATTACAGAGAGAATGAACGAGACACCGAAGGAGGAGAGAAGAAACAGATAGGTGTGGATGGACTCACCGAGCGAGGCGAATTTGAATCTCTTCGGCGGCGTGGCAGTAGTGCAGGCGCGCGTCAAGGCTGGCATGATGCTCTCCCTCTTCAACAACGTGTTCGGACGCGATAAGCTGGATGATCCTTCCAGTTCTGGGACGGCGGCACGTTTGACAGCTCTCTCCTCGGTGCTGCTCACCTCTATGGCTAACGAACGCATCCTTCGTGAGCGCGTTGTAATCTCGTGACGCGTGTGCAACCGTGTGGTGTGTGGCGAATCGTCGTGTGTCATTAGCGGATTGCAAAATTTCCCCGATATTTTACCGCCGGTAAACGAGAACTAAATCGTTTCGAATCGCGGCTTTTCGCCACGGCTGCTTTTTCTCCACTTCGCGAGGGAATTTTAATTGAACGGCTAGATTCGTTTGCGACACTTCTGTGCATAATTCTACGCTGCGTGACAAATGAATCATGTTTTTTTTTTTTTTTTTTGACGTTCTCGAAAATTGAATTGGAATTTCATTGGAATTTAACAAATTAAGGACAGGATGCAGCCTTGGTGCAAAGAGCGAAAGAATGGAAATTATGTAAAAATGTTATTTACTTGCGTGTGAAGATTGTAAAAATCGACTTACTGTTATTTTTTATTAATGTAACGTAAAATATACGGAAGTGGTGAATGAAACAAGTGTTCTTAGCACTTATTGTTTTTATAATAAACCCATTTCTCCTTATCTTAGACTTGGAATAATGCTACTGTTGGAAGATCAGTGCAATTTGCTATAACGGACTTGCAGATTTTTATGCGTTATAATTGGTATTGGATCATTGACAACCGTAACCACTATTTCTGAAATTTTTAATTTAACTTTAATATTACCCAATTTTGTTATCTCTCATTACATGCAAATGCAAAATGAAATTAAGTACCTTAAATTTTTGTAATCTAGTATAAATTACAATGACAGTAGTTGAATCATCCATGACTCAGCGATACTGCTTGAACGTCAAAAATTTTTACGAACATAACTAAGGAAATAAAGATTTGTTTTAATTACCCTAGTTCGAATATTACGCGCATTTTTCTGTATTTCAATTCCCCATAAACGCATAAACACCTGAAATTTTATGATATTATTATGAATCATTGCCTTCTAAAAATCTTACAGAGGACTTAAAGAGCGTCATTTCACAGAAAGTTTGATGATTCAATTTCCAATTTCAAATGACTTCGCACGAATGCGAATGACGTCCCTGAATGTGAATAAATATCCTCAATCCAAGTAGTTCTAATATTATAATATTATAAATTTCATGGTCCCAATATTCAAAAATAAACTCTGACAACATAAATTAAATGAAACGAATTGTAAATTAAATGCAAACGTTCTTAATAGATTAATCCACGGGCGTGAATTAAACTTAGAATAAAATAAGAACGTAAATTTCGTATAAGATCGTAAATTTCAACATAATATAAATTCATTTAATATAAATTTATATTATTATTATTCAATATTATTATTTCATTTAATATAAATTATCACAGACATTGGTAACCCAACGATATACCGATTAATTGCCAAATTAATTTCCAAGCTCACTCAGAATCTATCAATTTCGAATCTAACTATATCCTCGTGCAAGTTTTCGCTAAAATTCACTGGTGAATCGATTACTTATGGCAACATTACCCACGTCTGCCACCAGAGGGCCATTGTTCGCCGAAGCTCGTGCTCCATCATCGATTCTTTCGTAAATATAACTTTCTTCAGTCATAATCAGACTCGTTCGAATCGATACCTCGAAGTATTTCCAGACTGTTCAGCCAAGTTTGATCCGAACATGGAATTTCCACCAATCGAACCGCTTGATTACTCTACACTATTAATAAATTTATCAACAGGTTGACGAGGAAGTGACTCTCACTCGCTCGTTCACCATTTTCATTCCAGCGGCGAAACGCTGACGCTTGCGCTGCGAAATGCACCGCAGAAAGAAAGAATTTGTTGATTCAAGGGTCTCCGTGTCAAAGCAGGCTCGGCCGAACGTTCTGCTTATTTGACGAGGACACGGGTCGATCGTCGTATGCAACGAAAACGAAAGCGTCGCGGCGTATTTTCGGCAAGGGAACGACCTCGAGATGAAATTTACTCGATGCTGAATCGTCATTGAATGCAGATGTTGCAGCAAAGGAGTGACACAAAACACAAGAGAGAAGCGAGAAAGAGATTTTAAATAGAATTAAAGAGTACTGCCATTTGGAAATTCTTCTTTTTCTTTTTCTTCATTTTTCTGAAGTTCGAAGTAGCGTCGCAGAGACTTTATGTTTTGTCTCTGACAGAGATTGGTAATTTAACAACGTCAAATCAAATTGAAAATTTCTCAAATCTTCATTAAATCGAATTGAAGATTATTTAAATGCCTTTTTTTAATCTTTCAAAATTGAATTCGACAAAATGGCAAAGTTACAAATGCTTTCAAAGAAGCGACACGATACATGTAATGTATGTTAATGTTACTGTATGTATTTATATATTGATTTATATATTATTTATTATTATTATATTATTATATTTATATAATATATTGTTATTTATTATTATTATATTATTATATTTATATAATATATTGTTATTTATTATTATTATATTATTATTTTTATATATTATATATTATATAGTATTTATATATTCATTTTCGACATACTTGTATTTTTCTAAATTTAAAAAATATATCAAGCTCAAACGAGATATGAAAAAATTCTTATTAATATGCGTGACTCTTTGATCAAGTTGTCAAACATCCCTCGAGACATTATAAGTTCTTCTCGTTCCCTAAACTGAGCGTGAAATTGAAATATAAAAACTCGAAATTATGTTTCCCCAATTTTTTTAATAATACATGGTTCAGGAAGGTCTTTTTTGAAATTTTATACACAAAACTGTGCAAAAATCGCAACAACATTCTTTTTATTGCCCGGCGAAGAAATGTTCTCTCGCTTCTCTTCTGTGGATGATTGCCATTTTGACAAAGTATAGACATTCTTTCTGCTTAACTTTAATTGTTTTCTTTGCTACCTTCATCGCGATATGTAGGGTCATCAGTTTCGTTTGTCATCGTCGAGATATTTGCGTAATTTGAAATTTCTACTCAGGTATCGTGACACGATACTTTTAGTCACGTCGGATGAAATGTCAATCGATTATTCATCGCGTCATCACTCTGAATATCAGTGATATGATCTAAAGAACGTTCGTGCACGATTTCGATAACACGTTCTATTTTCTAAACGCGAGCCACCGTTTTGTTTTCGAAACGTCGAAACTGCTGACGACGTATGTCATCAGCGTGCAGCGTCACCCGCTGCAGACGAACAACGAACGTTTCATTTCCTTCTTCGGGAATGTATTTTGAAATAATAACGAGGAAAACGAAATGTGAGACAATCTAATAAAATATATATCTGATGACAGTAGCGATAAACCGTATCGAATTTGTGAATTCAAATATTTTAATACGATCTAACAAAGACTCACGAATCATTCATTTTTCATGTAAAAATTTAGAATACCAAGATAATTGTATGTTTGTCTCTATTCGTGCGCTCTAATATTAAAATAAATTGTAAAAAGAAGCATTTTTTTAAAAATAAAGTTTAATAACTAAATAATTTCAACGTTGTTAAAAAGTTTTTTAATAATATATTTGCAAGTTTTTTTGCATAATTTATTTCAATATTAGAGCACGGAAATGGGGACTAATTTTCTAACAAGAAAGCAGAAACTAATTCTTCACGAAAAGTTAACTATTCTGACTAAAAATTATCTATCGTAAAAAACTTAACTATCCTGAATTACAGAGTTTAATCCATTACAGAGTTTAATCCATTAAATTAAGTTAAGGATTTATCATACTTATCTATATTACTTATATAAGGATATCTTCTGAATTCTATTTTTTAATATTGGGACTATAGAAGTAAAATTATGAGAACTCGTCTTTATGTCTTTCACTCGGGTTCTATAACCTTCGATAATAAAACTTCTAGTTCTCGGTTTTTATCTTTTTTGAAAAGAATATTGATCGTGGCTATCAAAATTAAAATTCCACGAGTTTTTCAACTGAAAGTTAACATTTTCAGATCAATGTTAATCAATATTACGAATTTATTACATTCGATTAATTATTACACTATTACTACTATGTTCATTAACTTTAAGCTTTAAACTGATTACCAGTAACATGAATTACTATTGAATTTCATAATTAATTGCGATGAATTACCATCACGCGCATACCTTACTCAAAACCTCTCTAAAAACCTCTCACACAATTCCAAGCCAGTACAAACCGGTACAAACTATCCGTCACGAATTTCATTTCCACGTGTTAACGAAAGTCTCACCCTCTGGTCGAACTGGAACGGTAAAATCGTCAACGATTCTTGCAACACGACTGGAGAGTGTTCGCGATTTGAACGACACACACACACACACACCACGGCCCACGTGTGGGCCACCAGAGTATTTACTTGCATGGACTTACTCATCGACGACGGCCTCTTGACAGCAGACTTCCCGGCGAGTAACAGCCCCGACGATGCTTTACCACGATGGTTGACCGGCGACTGTGCCGCTCCACGGCCTGCCAGGGATATCTTTGCGCTCATCCTCGCGCAGGCTACCGTTTCCTGCGATCCTGACTCACGTACAGGGAAGTAGAGCTCGGAGGTCGTCTTGCTGTCATGCCACCTCGTTTAAATCACTTCGAGACCTTCTTCTCGTCGCTGTTGTTGTTGCTCTGGTCTGACAATTGGATACGCTTGCCCTCGGCTCTCCTCAGCTCTCCTCAAAGCCGCTTGAGGATCTGCAAATCACCAATACGGTGAGACTGTTAACAACGTTTATTTTTGATAGTAATATCAACTGTCAATATTTTGATTGCTGTCGTAAAAATGTTATTCTCACGCGAATTTATGTTTTCATTTTGTTCGTCAGAAACGTTGAGAAAAGTATAAGCTTATTGTATAGTGGAGATTGGTTTTCTCTATTCGAAATCATATTTTAAATATTTTACACACTTTTGTTAATCAGAGAGATTTACGCAGAGGTGGCATTCAGATTTTATCTGTATGTTTTATCTCTGTTACTCATCTTTATTTAGAATTAGTTGCTGTGTTTCTTTCTATTTTTATCCCGACTGTTTCAACGTTGTCAGAGAGATTCATTCAAGTATATCATTTTTCAATTTTCTCTGTGCAAAGAAAATTTATAGGATATAATATTATTGGATGTATTCATAACTAGATGTTCGTATATCTGTCGTCTAGACATACAAAAAAAAAAAAAAAAAAAAAAAAAATTTTAAAAA